GTCATATGTGAAAGTAAACAAAACCGGACGATAGGAAGGAAAAGAGGTTTTTTACACATTTTTAATAAGAAGTTGAAGTAAAATATGTTTAAATTACTTGCTTTATCAGTAAGAGGTGATCACAGTGGCAAAAAGAAGAAACTGACCTACATTTTGACTTGTGGAGAAACAAGCACACCAAATTTGACAGCCTTTGCTATGTAAACGGGTTGATTGCTGAACGCGATTTTTTAGTGATTATTTTTATGTTACATTTCTTATGAAGATTTGGGTATCTAATGAGGGTTAATAAAATTTAAAAAGTGTAGATTGTCAATGCCTAATTATCATTTAAATTATTTATCGAAACCAGTTCACAAATCAAAACTGGCACTTTGTTTGAGTACTAAAGTTACATCACCAATTTCATACAGAAATTTAAATATTTTTAGCAATAACTTACATTTTGCATAAATTTTGTAGCGAAGAAAAAAAAAACCAAACACACAGACAGAGAACTGTCAAAACGAATTAAAATTCACGGTGCCGTGGGAAAGTAATAATATTAACTACCCAATAATAATCATGATCCAACTACACAAGATCTGACAAGATGAAGCAAAAGAAAAAAGTAATTTTTTGGCTGATATTTGTAATTTCGGCGCCATTTTATTTTCTTGGAAATGAACCAAAAGTAAATAAAGAATATGAAGACGAAGGATAAAGAAAACAATTAAGAAAATGTTGAGCGCATGTNTGGCTGATATTTGTAATTTCGGCGCCATTTTATTTTCTTGGAAATGAACCAAAAGTAAATAAAGAATATGAAGACGAAGGATAAAGAAAACAATTAAGAAAATGTTGAGCGCATGTTTCTGTTAATCATAAAAATAATAATTTTTGTACGTGTTCTTGCAACCAATTACCACGCACATCATTTCAACTACATTTGAATAAAAAGTTTATTGAAAATCGCTTAAAATTCACTGAAATAAACCCCCGCCAAAGTACACTTAAAAAAGAGATATGAAAAACAAAACAGAAATAGCAAACTTCAAAATTACGTACGTCACACGCTTTTCTCAAATGCCATTGCAAATAGCTCCTTCTTAACCGGTCAGATCTGTTCCAACTGGTTCATGAATAATCATGATGAATAATAATATAATCGGATTGATCGTAGATTTCTCAAGAATTATCGCAATCATACACCCATTCCTGTGTACAAATTTTATAACCCACTGAACATACCGTAAAAATGCATCACAGCAGGAGAAAACAAAATGGGCAAGAAATCAAAACAACGAATTTGAGAAAGCGGGCAGGACGCTAATAAAGATTAAAATAGTGGAAAGGGATAGTAGCAGACGCGAAAAACGAAAGTGAAAAAAACGCCAAGAATCACAGAAATTTGTGAGAAAAAGCAAATTGGCGGTGTGTTGTGAAAAATTAAAGTGAAAATAATCTCAGTAGGAAAGGAAATGAGTGCAATGGCGGACGGTAACAATGAATCAAGTGGCGAAAGTGGCGGCGGCAGTGCCGGCAGCATTACAATAACCGCACCAGCGGAGCACCCTATTCGAATCAATAAATGGCGCGTTCGTGAAGGTTTCCCCATAACTTCTTCCCAAGTGATTTTATTATACGAAATCACAAGTAGCGACAATAGCTCGGAAGCGTCGTCTACAAAAACTTTAGCTACGTCGGTAGTTTCAGTTGATAAAACTTTGCTCAAATTAAAAGCGAATCGTGTAGGCGTGGTAAAAAAGCGTTTGTACAAGGAGGGACAGTTGGTACCGCAGGGGTAAGTATGAGCAATGCAATGTGTATTTAGTCGTACTCTAGTAATAAACCTTTTCCAAATACAAACCTTATTTCATGCCATGAACCGAGTGCGTGTCGACACTCGATATGTACATTTTACTGTCTCAAATTTAATCATTAAAACTGCAAGGTTTAGACACACGGTTTTACTTTAAAATGCTTCTTTATTTTGCATTTCTTCTGCAGAGCGACGATTTTGGAGCTGGCCGAGTGTGCCCACACTACAGTGATAAAAGATATGTGTGCTGATTGCGGTGCGGATTTGCGCCAAAACGAAAATGTGAGTATACGAGTAATTTCTGTATGAATCGATTGGGGGGTTTGAGATCGAAGTATGGAAAAGATTTTGCGTTTAAGATGGATTACTTTGAAGTACGAGAATGTAACGAAGAAAGTAGAAATCAAAAGAAATAGGCGGCTGATAAACAAAACAAAGTTTTATGCGCGGGTGTTTTGTGGTGCCGCGCTGAATGATAAGTAAACAGGATTGCCACGGCAGTTCGCGTTAGGAAAAGTAACTTAAGGGTTGAATTTATGTATGTTATATAAAAGAAAATGTATGTATATGCGTATATAAAATTTGAGTTTATGCTTTCTTAAATGTATGTATCTTAGGGTATAATTTTTCCATTTTTTGATTATGCAATTACTGAAGGAACGAAGGAGTTATGAATGTGTAATTCGCAGTATCTTAAAATTTATTAGCTGGTTGCATATTACATACTCGTACAGAAAATGTATTGCTTTCATATGCTCAGCACTTACGAAAATTTAGTAAAGATATTTGTATCCTATTAGTAATGCTCTTTTCATTTCTGTTCGATGCAGGGAAATACATCCGAGGCATCTGTACCAATGGTGCACTCCATCCCCGATCTTAAAGTAACACAAAAACTTGCACAAAAGCTAGGCCACGATGACACGCGTCGTTTGCTTGAAGATCGCAAGCTCGTACTCCTAGTCGACTTAGATCAAACGGTTATACACACAACAAATGATAACGTACCGAATAATATTAAAGGCATTTACCACTTTCAACTTTATGGTCCACACTCACCGTGGTATCACACACGTCTGCGTCCAGGCACACCGGTTTTCCTTGATCGTATGTCAAAATTTTATGAACTACATATCTGCACTTTTGGAGCACGAAACTACGCACACATGATAGCACAATTACTTGATCCTGAGGGAAAGTATTTTTCACATCGTATTCTATCTCGCGATGAGTGCTTTAATGCAACAAGTAAAACTGATAATTTGAAGTAAGTTTTGTATTGTTAAATAATGATCTATGAATATATTTAAAGTATGTTCCTTTTAATTCTAGAGCTCTCTTTCCTAATGGAGATTCTATGGTTTGCATAATCGACGATCGCGAAGATGTATGGAACATGGCATCCAATTTGATTCAAGTCAAGCCTTATCATTTTTTTCAACATACAGGCGACATAAATGCGCCACCTGGTTTATCAAAGCATGAATTAGATGGAGAAGGTCTTGACTTCAAAGGTATGCATCGATAATTCACCTGCATAAAAATACATGCACACATATACATATATACATATCTATTCATAATGTATTATAATTTTTATTAGATTTAAAAAACCTTACAACCGATACGAGCAAGATGGATGCAATAGATGTAGAGAGTAAGGAAAAGGTTGCCGAATCAGAGTCCTCCGATGGCATATCTGAGCGTTCGGAGACTGATACAGAAAGTAAAAAGGATGATATCATTGTTGATGTCGTTAAAAACGACATTAAAACTAATACAGAAGTCATTGAGACATCGAACGTTGAACCAGTTGATGTAGAGTTAGATGTATTGGCGAAAGATAATGTTATTGACATCCCTGATGCCAACAAGGCAACTGTTTCTATATCTGACGAAAATTATGAAGACAAACTTGATAATAAACTGACATCAATGGAAACTGAAGCCGAGACAACACCCAAAATAAAACTTCCTGCTGACCCCCATCAGCAAATTGAAATCGAAGATCCAGACGATTATCTTATGTATTTGGAGGAAATTCTTAAAAACATTCATATGCGATTTTATGCTATTTATGACGAAACGCAGGAGATACCTGACTTGAAGATTATTGTTCCCAAAATTCGTTCTGAAGTACTTCGCGGGAAGACTTTAATTTTTTCGGGTCTAGTACCTACTAATATGCAACTAGAGCAGTCCCGCGCTTACTTCATTGCAAAAAGTTTGGGGGCAAATGTGTCACAAAGTATTGGACCAGGTAATCTTTAAAATTCCTTAACACAAAATTTATGCATAGTTTCTAAAGGTATTACTTTGAATTTAGAAACGACACATCTTGTTGCTGTAAATTCTGGTACGTTCAAGGTAAATGCTGCCAAAAAGAATCCGAATATTAAGGTCGTCAATGCAAACTGGTTGTGGACATGTGCTGAGCGCTGGGAGCATGTAGATGAGCGGCTCTTTCCCCTGGATCGTAAAACAAAAAGCAGACAACGAAAACCACCAGCACATTGCCATAGTCCTGAACATGTCGTTAACTACAGCGACAAGTCAGAAATATCACCGTCGAGTAGCGCGCAACAACAGCAAGCTAAAGCGCCTGAAAAATTCATAGACACAATCAATCCACTTTTATCGTTTTCAAATGCTGATTTAGCCGATATGAACAAAGAGTTTGATCAGTTTTTCGAGTCAGATTCATCCAGCGAAGATGAGCATATTAATATTGGTAAAAATATAAATATGTATAATTGGGCTTTTACCATGTCGGAATTTTTTAGAGAATCCCCCTGTAGACAAGACATTGCGTAAACGAAGGCGTGAGGAAAAGGAACAGGATCGAACACGAGAATTTTTCACGCGTGCATCGGATATTATTATGGGTCCCGGAACAAATGAGGACGCTGATAAGAGTTCAGATGGCGAAGACAATGACGACGACGATGAGTCACCAAGCGCAAAATTTCGGCGAGGTAATCATTATCCGGTATTAAATGAAATCTATAAATGTTTGGTTATAGGTGAGAAATTGCCATCAGACTTGGAAATGGGCAGCGATTCGGATGATGGCAGTCCTGGCAATGAAGACAGTGGGGATGATGGCGAATGGAATATGATGGGTGCTGCGCTGGAACGAGAATTTCTTGGACTTGATGATTAGCTTGTATTGTTTGAATTTAGAAAATATTAAGGGTAATTTATTTGAACTTTTTCACTTGAATTCTGAGTAAATTTTAACTTTATTCTGTTTTCACCCATATAGTAAGTACGCTTATAAAGCTTTTAAATTATGAATACGTGTGCACACATTTATATAAGTATATAATTGCAGGCATAAACTGTTGAAAACTAACTTGAAAGCAATTTTAAATTAATAAACAGTAAGGCGAACCCAATTACAAATCTTGTGGAAGATGTATTTGTTTTATAATACTTATAATATATTTTCCTGTAATTGAACTTATTTATTACTTAAAGAAACTGTTAAGCAGTTTCAGTTATTACTCGACTTTTTTTGAAACGGCTAACACGTTTTTTAGGTGCATGTGCATCGATATATTTACAGTCAGGGAGAGGTTCTGGTTCAGTTAGAGGCTTTTCAAAAACTTCATTCATCACCTAAAAATGTACGTTAGTGAAAATAATAAATAAAAGGCATCTGTTCATCGGATACGTCAATGAATAAAGAATTGGCTTATTGAAAAAAGCAAAAAATACAAAATCCAAAGCAAACCTTGTAATAAGCACTCATATATTCCCCCTCATCGAATGCTGCTGCCTTTTTCTTTTTTGGCTCTTTTTTACGGTCCAAATTATGTTCCTTTTCAACCGCAGATTTATTTCGCAAAATCGATTTCGTTTCTGCCATAGGTTTGCAGAACTGTAACGATAAATTAAACTATTCTGTATTTATGATAAATTAACTAATAAATTATAACTCAACCTCTTTCCGCTGATCCACATAGGCCTTTGATCGATCAATTTCTTTTAACAGAGGCACTTTGACTTTATCCTCTCCATTATAGGCATTTGTGAAAATTATTTGATCTGCGTTTGATTTGCTTTTGTGCGCGACGGGATTTCCTATATTTTTTCGATATGCTTGATACAAGTCAGACGGCGAGCCGGGAACCGCTTCACTTTCGGAACAGTCATTATTCTTACTCGCTTCCATTCCAGGCATTAATGAGTGCTGGAAATTTATACGTAAAGTGTAACATCCGCCTAGAGAGTTCTCTAATATTTTATCAACTAACTGGAAATCCTGAGTACTTTGGGTTTCTTCGATGAACTTTAAATTCTGCTCTACTCTATCGATAATATTTTGTTTACGATCGTCAACATTAACCCACGAAGCAGCTACGTTGGTGCATAAGTTTGGCACAGGTTCATCAAGTAGTACTACATCTCGTTCTCTTGGCTGCGTTTTAGGTAACATTTCGGAAACTGTTTCATTTCTACGGAATTCTAGTGTTTCGTTTTGTAAAGCAAAAGAAATTCGCCGTTTTTTCTGTTTTTCTTTTTTATGGTAATCACTTTCCTTTGTTTTCGCTTCCACGTCGGATACTTCTTCGGAAACACCTTCTCTGTCACTTCGAATAATTTCTTCCTCCTGAGCTTCAGCGGAGTCTTCAGTAATTTCGAGCGATTCCTCTAATGCTTCTATAACGTTTAATATATGCACTTTCTGATCGATATCATCCTGCGTTTTAAGCGGCAATGTTAACAGCTTTTGGCGCATAATTTTTATTTGAAATTCATAAAAACCGATTTGATCTGCCACTTGCAAAAATTTTGCCTGTTCATTAATAATTTGTACTTCCCGAGGTAATTCCTCTATATCAACCTCTGATTCATTTCTGTAAGTGTTGTTTGATTGTGATAGCTCTGGATTCGGGTGGTGGTTATTATTTGTATGCATTAAAATTGGTTCCAAATCAGTTTTTTTTACAATACCCTGAAGCTCTATTCCAACATCGTGAGTGCTTTTGTTCACAATTCGACTGGATTTCATTTTCGATTGATCCATATTTGGAGCGTAAGCTACCCGTTGTTTTTCTGGCGCCAGTTTCATATCTCCGGCCATTAGCTTTTTTATAGTTTCGTCACTGATATCATTAATTTCCAAACTCTCTAATTCGTTTTCTAGTTCTTCCATCAGTTCAGCTTCTTCTAACATTTTAAATATTTCATTTTCCAATAAGTCTGAATTTTTACCTGATCCAGCACCGTTCGCATCCTTCTTCCCTCGGTCTTCTTTTTCCCGCGCCTTAGCTTCTTTCACAAGAAGTTTATGTTTATCTCTCCATATTTTTTCTTTTTCTTCGTTATATTCTTCTATAATTTCGCAGGCGTCCGTGCTTGGAAATACACCTTCTGCGTAAGGTTTCTGTAATTTATTTCTGGGGATAAGGCAATAATAACTAATTGAAATCTGTAATTAAAATTTAAGCCCAGAAACTTCTGCTTTTGGTACAAGTTTTTGGCCACGGAAAAAAACAAAGTAGTTTTAATATATACTTACTGCCATAAATCAGATTCCGTATTAAGCTTTTCCAAGTGTTCGGTTGCCATATTAACCCTGTACTCACATATTTCTTTTGCCTTTTGCGCAGAGCACTTGGAAAAATATCCTTGATAATGTCCTACGAGCACTTCATTTGTATGAACAAGTTGGCCCGGCATATAAGCTTTTTGTCCTATTGGAACCATTACATCTACAGTGAGGTAATTACGAAATTTGTCTAGATTTTCAATAGCTGTAATGTTTTCTTCCTTGTAACTTTTCCATCGCGCCGTTTCTTCCTCATTCCGGGTCAAAGCCTATAAGCATGCACATTCAAAAAGGTAAATTGTCTCATATTTTATTATACAATATTTTTTACCTCGCGTAATGCAACTTCCCGTTTTTCCATAATTTAATTTTCTTGGTTTTTAGAAAGAAGTCTACTAATAAGTATTGAAAAAGTTGCAAAATGTTAGCCAAATCACGCGTCGTAAATATGTACATGTAAACAAAGCGTGGGGCAAACAATTGCTGATCAGCTGTTAATAGAGATGTCGGAAAAGCATCGAAAATATCGATGTTTTGCTTCGATGCATCAAATATTTTTCAGACGATGTAACCGGCAACGCAAGCGCGTTTTGCTTTTTTCTTTCGCAAGCAACTGGGCATTCGACAGTGTTCATTTTCATTTGTAAAATGTTGCCAAATATTATGGTTCGAGCTTTGTATTTTCCGCCAAAATAAACGAAGTTACTACTCCCAAGAATTTCTATTTAGTATGTACGTGCATCTGCTTTGTACAGAAACAAATCTAATTTGCCTTTA